CCAAGAGAATCCTATGGAATCCTGGAGAAGTCTATGGAATCCTGGAGAATCCTATGGAATCCTGGAGAATCCGAAGGAATCATAGGGAATCCTTGGAATCCAGGAGAATTCAGGATTCCAGGATTCTGTGCTTTCCCCCTTGCATATATTACATCTTAAGTCTTTAAACGTCAACTATTTTATTTCCTGTTCAGCATGGTAGCATACAATTGCTCAAAAGATTAGTTACACTGCACAAAGGTTACTCTCAAGATTTAGTCTAGCATCTCACTTTCACTCACGCAGAAAAATACGGTTATTCATTTGAATAAAGATAAGTTACATTACACAGAGATACACTTACTGCCATGTCAGTTTCTCCGTGTTACTATCTCGCTCGAAATAAGAGAATAAAAGGTTTTTGAGTGTTCCTCAAATGAGTATATTTATGTCGACGATGGTCTAAAAATTCTAGTGAATAACTAAACTTTTTTCTAATTAATTTTTTAAAAAAAAGTATTTGTCATTTCATTCCTAAGGCTATCTAATCGCTGGTTGCTTCAGGAGCGTCTATCTTCACCTTACAGTTTGAGGCACAACGTTCCACCTGTCATTTTGTACCACGTGTAAAAGTTGCATTATTTTAAGTGGTACTAAATAATTTTTTCTATTTGCTTTTTCTGTTGTGCTTGTGACTATGAAGATTCCTTCTCCTCTAATTGCCTTGAGGTAAGCAGAGTATGAGAAGAGAGACAATATCGCTGATGAGTACCGATAATGACTTGTAATTTGCCAGTTCTGATACGTAGAAAGAGAAATTTTGGTCAAGGGCTCCAGTGTTATTGATTAGCGGCTGGTAGGGGTGGCACACCATCCCCTCGTTTGGATACAATTACTCAAAACATTTTGACTTACTCAAATTTTTTAAGAAATTTAAGTAGAGAAACTGCCTTTTGTGCACCTGAGTAAATGATTTTCTCTAGCTTCTGCGTAACTCAGTTACTCAGAAAAAAATTTTAGTATAAAAATGCGTTACTCAATGAAAAACTTTAGTTACTAAGACCCAGTACCTTCCCGTAGTAGCACTATTCTTTTGGTTCTGATTTTTCATCTACCAATGTAAGAAGACCAATCTTGACGTTTCGCGTTCTTTTGAGCGCGAACTGCTACCAGTACCTACCTATTCACTATTAATTATTACATCTAAAGAAACTATTCTTTATGAATTAAACAAAGCTGAGTTGATTAACCATTTTTGCAATGTGTTCTAGTGTATTGAAGAAAAAATTATTACAACAATATCAAACTTACAAAATCTTATGAGAAACTTCTTTCACTAACATCATAACAGTAATAAACGGTTCAATCGTCTATCTTGTTCTGTATAAAGTAAACATAGTCTCTGTTTCTCTATGAAGGCAATATACACCTTATATTCATTTATAAGTTAAATATTTTACTAAAAAAAAAATATTTCTAATGTTTGGGTGTTTTATAACTATTTTGTGGGTGATAACAAAAAGTTGTAAGTCAAATTTGGACGAAAGAAACAATTGAAACTGCAATGATGCACTGTAAGACATACATCTATATTCTGCAAACGTCTCACTTTTGTATGTTAACAGAAACAATACCTATATATTCCGAAACCTTCTTCTCCCAACATTAACTTCAACTTTCCCGATCAATTTCTCTAAGTTTTTTCTTTCTCTGGCATAGTGGTAAAATTTCTTTTAAAATGTACCATCTCATTTTTTTTATATTTGAAGCTTCATGCCTCAAACGTATCATAGCGTAGACGTCCCTGACCGGCTGCATGGTCAAATATTGTAATTAGAAACATTGTTACTTTCATTTGTGATTTATTGTCAAGAAAGTATTCATATGTTTTTGAAAACTGTTTAGACGATCATATTTTCACATGCTTAACATTACCTTCAATAAATTCTTCCATTGATAATTTTCCATCTCGATCCGAATCAAATAAATGAAATATTTTTTCTGTTCGTTTTTCTGCTGTAGATTCATCTTCGGGCATCTTCATCACCGAACCAACCATTTTATAGATGGCCTAAATAGAAGAACATTTGATTTAATAGAGTTAAATTTGAAAACTTCTTTTAAGCAGGAAAGTGCTAGAAAACACTTTTACTCCCATTAATCAAGTATTCTGTTAAATTACTGGGAAACTTCAATACATGGGTTTTATTTATTTCTGTTAGTAGACTGGACTTGACTAATTTTTCAAAAAAATGTTTCAGTAGAATTTCAATGATTCTACTATTAAATGAACGATTCTCAGAAATCAGATCCTAAAAACATAACGTTCTATCAGGATGTTTTAGGTAAAAGTCTAAAAATTTTGAAAGTTTTTTGAAAAAAATTGCAGAAAAACACTCTTCTCGATGTTTCCATCGATTTTCTTTTATAAGTCATATTTATATCCTTATATTTTTTCGTCTTTGTGCATACTCTGACAGATTTCTCTGGTAATAGATCTATATGCCTCAGAATCATACGGTGAGACACTGTCCTACACTACGATCAGAACAGAAAACAAAATATAAACACAATATAAACAATAGAATAATTTCTTTGTAAGGTGAAAGTTTTTAGTAAAAATAGTAGAATTGTCACCTTTTTAAACATGTTTATAAAGTAACAACTTTATTTATTTGATGTTTCGTTCTATACTATAGAACTTCATCAGTCAAAATGATCGGTGTGTATAAACATCAGTAGAAATAAGGCAAGTACATCTTTCTTTCTTTTTATTTCTACTGATGGTTATACCCATGGATCATTTTGACTGTTGAACGGCTTGTTCAGCTAACGGCCTCCATTTTTTGCTCCTTCGAAAAGTTATTGAAATAAAGCTACAAACTAATCTAAAATGGCAACTAGATGACTAAGTAGATTAATCATTTCTATACAAAATGAAAAGTGTCTCGGCTCTGAACGTCGATTCGTTATGAAAATACAGCTGTTGTACAAACAGCCTCAAAAATCGATTTTGGAGCTATCTGAGAAGCGTGTCTAAAAGAGTGAAGACGAACGGGTAAACATTGAACAAGTATATCAGTTTGTAGAAAATTGTTCGCTCTACAAGATGTGATAGTTTGTCAAGTTCGAAACTATTCTAATTAATCTGTATTAATCAAAGAAAAACTAGAAAAACAGTAACGCTGTGACACTTTTGACCGTTTTTTGTCACAACGTTACTGTTTTTCTTTGATTGATACAGATTAATTAGAATAGTTTCGAACTTGACAAGCTATCACATCTTGTAGAGCGAACAATTTTCTACAAACTGATATACTTGTTCAATGTTT